CATGTGATGTCGAAGTTGTTTGATGGTCAAAACCCAAACAAAACACACCATATAGACGAAGAAGGAAGCCATCACGTAATTTTTTTTATTTTTTTTTAAACATATAGAAGAAAGAGTTGACTTAGAATTCAGCATGGGAATTAAAACTTGAAGTTGAAGATGAAAGGCTTAAATATTTAAGCATCGACGAGTTGATTTTAATGCATGATCCGCGTAAAGTGGATGTTAACATGCAACGTACGTACACTGCTCTCTTCATATATGATCAAGTTTGTACGTTGACAACCAAACAAAAAAAAAAAAAAAAAATGATAATTAGTTGGTATAGTATAAATATAAAATATGGTTTTGGAATATGAAAAACTTTACAACATGGGTGAAATTGAATCCAACTTGTATTTCTTGTATTCAACTTGTATTTATGATCATTAATCATATATTTCCATAGACCTTATCCCAAAAAGAGAAAAGTAGTTTTCGTTTTTTCTTTTGTCAAGCAATGAAAGAAGAAGAACAACAATAATAGATGAATTGAAAAGGACCGACCGTGGTCCGTGAGATGTAATAATATTTATGAGATGTATATATATACACTATACAAAAGTAGTCATTACGAATCAACCGGTCGAGAGGTGATCGTTTAAATTGAACCAACTCGAAAACAAAATTTATAATTTGGTTTATAAGATTTTAATTTGTTTCAACCGAAAAAAGGCTTCTAAGCAAAAAATAAAGTAAAAAGTGAGATCACAAAGGAACTGATGAATATAACATATAGATATTAAACATATTTGATTAAGTTAAAATTCACTTGAGTTTATAAATATTAATTTTTTCATTAATAAACTATATTAGTTTAGAGAAGAAAAAAAAAGTTTTAGCTAGGTTTTATTTTATTATATTTTATATAACTCGGCTACAGGTATGAGTGAAGAAATGAATATTGTTGTCATTGTCATTCATTCTTATCTAGTGAGCTGTATTAGCTTTTATGTTACTACATTGTTCATGTTTCAAATTCAAATAATGCATGTTGTCAACAGAAAATATAACAACAAATTTTGTTAGCTATAATATTAGTCTAGTTTCTTTATTAATTTTAAAATCAATCAATATATGAGAGTAATTATATGGTTTTCTCTTTTACTTTATTTTGTATCGAGATTTAATTCTTTTCCATGTAAGTTTTTCTACTCTGGATTGGTTTCTACAAGGAAAACTTATATGTTTTAACTCCAAAGGATGATACTTATAATATGGTTATGTTTATCAATTCAAGAATGTTCTTTTTTCTACAGAATTTGCTAATTTAACTCTCTATTTGTGTGGTAGCTGAGTCCTCTCTTCTAATAAGAAAAAAAGTGAATGCAAAGTAGATAAATAGTATGGGTTATGTATGAAGGCCGTTAAAACGTTGTAGCATGTGTATTGGTAATGCCGTCTTTTTCAGTATCTGTCAAGACTTTACTTTATATTTTTCTTTTTTTTGGTTTGAGAAAATTAATCAGCATAGATTAGTCTTTGTCATTCATTGAAAACAAAAACTTCCACGAGGAAGTCTACTTCAATTGTTTTGCTGTAAAGAGAAAATTAATTCATCAACTATCATTTTCTTTATAAGCTTTCATGGAACAGACATTATGAAGAAAACAAAACTAAGCTCGTATCTTAATCTTGTCACATTGTTTGACATTATGTTTGAATTTTGTTGTCTCAGTTTCTTCATTATCAATCATTAAACATCATAGTCTTATGTCTAAATTTCTTCGGATAATGATGGCCTAAAAAGCAGGAAACCAAAACAATGAAAAGCCTAGCCATCATCTGTCATCGATCACCATGAGCTTCATTGTTTTGGTTACAAGACTCTGTCTCTGTACAAACCTAACCTCCAAGCTCAAGGATAGAACATTGTTCAGCGGATTCATTCATAAGAATATATACAAGAAAAGCAATACAGAGACAAATCATGTGGAACACAGGAACAGCTAGCTCATAGGAACAAATAGAGTGAATGTCAAGAATTTACAAACAAACCAAAACATAAGTAGTGTTTTTGGTTACATTACATGAATCTGAAGAGAGACTCATCTGGTAACTTCTCTTGTGTTTTCTTCATTGTCTGCACCTGATACTCTCTTATACCTGAGATTAACACCATCGGTAAAGAGAAATTGCTCGGATTCTTAGTTAAATATGTATAGAAACAATTATCCCTGATCTGTAAGGCTAAGTTACTATGCAGTGTGATAAAGAAAAGAGTAAAGGAATCCCACCTGAAAGAAGTATTTGGGCTGGGGTCGATTCTCTCACGAGGAGCAAACTCATTGTAGAACTGAACAGAGACCATACGGTTATTGGCTGAATTATTTGGTGCAGGTGAGTTGTCTGAATTCAAACTTGCATTGCTTGTGAAGAACCCTGCCAAAGAGAGAGACAAATTTTCAAGGAGTTTTATGAAACAGAAGCAGTTTTGGTAATTATTATAACAAAGCGCGAAAGCAGCACACATAGCCCCTAGAAGAAAGACCTAATAGAACATTTCACCAAGATCTCCAAAGCTAAAACAAGAAAGATGTAAGTTGTGTGATAGCTGAAGAGCCGAACACGAAGGTAAAGGGTTTGTGCCTTTGTGGGTTCTTTAATAGGCAGAAACATGTGAATGCAATAGAAACTAGGTGAAACCAAACATAGCAATTTTGGGTTCTTTAAAGCCAGCTAAAAGAAACAAACATAAACCGAGAAACTTCAAATTGTGAGTGCATACCTTGAAAGATTAAGAAGACAAAGAATATAACCGTCACTGTCATGGCGAAAATGCTACTGCAGGGAGACGAGGACTTTGCTGCTTTCAATCTTCTCAGTGTTTTCATCCGTTCAATCCGAGCACGTTTTCTCATAGCAAGCTCCGTGATTTCCCTCATCAACTTCTGGTCATTTAAACTCAGTAACGGACCTCTTGGAGGCCTCGGCGGCTTTGAAGGTTTTCTTGTCTTCTTATACTTGACATTATCAAACTTTATATCGGAAAGATCTAAACTTTGACTGCTTCGTTCTCTCCGCTTCCCGTCTCCCATTAAAGGGTCTACCAGATCATCAGAACTCTTTTCAGACCCATCAAAACTCAAACGTCCACTCCAAACATCATGATTCAAAACGTTCTCTGAATCCCCTTCAGCTGAAACAAGATTTGTCGTGATATCTTGTGTCTCATTGAATCTACCATTTTCAATGTCTACATCAAGATCTTCTTCTCCTGCAACAATTTGATCCATCCCGCTCTAACGCAAAAGCTGATCAAAACCCTTAAAATTTCCCCTGAAAATAATCCTCTGTAGAGGCTTCCTCAGCTCTAAAGACTTGCTCCTCTTTAAAGTCCTTTCGTCCTCCTAACATATGAACAAAAACAGCAGTTGGGATTTAGCATAGCTATTCCTCCACAAAAACTGCAAAGAAGCTTGAACAAAATCTGATACCAACAAATGCTAATAAGGTTGAGCTAAACCCCTAACATCACAGAATCACGTAAGCCTTCGAATCCACCAAACAAATCAAATTTCGTAAATCCTCTAATTTCTGAGAACAAACCAAACGAGGAAAAAGTTTCGAACTTTTTGGAAATTTGAAGCAAATAATTAGATTTCTCCGTTTCGAAGAACAAATGCGAAACATATTATTAACCCAAAACCCAGAATCTAGAAAGAAACCTCTATAATGTAATAATACCCCAAAAGATTTAAACTTTAGAACGAAGCTCAAGAAGTAAACAGAGAAAAATATCTCCAGAAAACAAAAACCCAAAAACTCACGGAATCAAGCGTAATAGCTGGGAATGTCGGAACCCCCTTGATGCTGCGAGATACGAGGAAGACAAAAAGAAAGAACAACTTTTGAATCCAATTTTGGGAAAGGAAAGAGAGAGTGACCAACCCCAAATTAGGGTTCATAAAAGGTCATATTTTTTTGTTTTTTCTTTTCTTTCCCTGTCTCGATATAATCCGTTTGGTGATTTTTCTTTTTAATACTAAAAATAAAAATAAAAAAGACACACAACACAACACACAAGAATGTCTTTTGGATTGTAATGTCGCCGAACGATTTGAAAATTTGGAAAAGAAAAAAAAAAAGCTTTTGAAGACGTGCCAGCTTTGTTCAGCATCTACGGATTTTCAGGGTTTTTTTACAATAATAATTATTGGTTTATTCTTTTTCAATAAGTTTCATTTTATTTTATTTTTTTGGGCAAAAGTTTCATTTTATTATAGTTAGGAAATCAAAAAGAAAAAATTAGGAAACAAATGGATACTTATACCAACTAATTAATATTTAGAAAGTAATAAACCACTAAATATAATGGATAAGCTTCTTTCATTTTTTCTAACCTTGGTTGGTATCAATGATTTAACTTCTAGAAGCCAAATAATGGTTTATGTTTTCACTTAGCTAAAAACAAATCAAGTGAGTTGATAATTTTATTTTTTCACTTTTGCTGAACTTTTGTAATACCCTTTTGTTGATCAGTCAATTTTTGTATCTTGGAATATATATATAAAGGTGAAAATGTATTCATGTACGTATATATAAATAGCCGTTACGGTGCCATTGTCTTATCTTATGACACACGTTGTCTATTGGACTAAAAAGGTCAACATCATGGGTCCTTTCTTCTGCACTAGTCATTGACTAAACATAAACAAATTAAATCTCTTTTTAACCTTTCTTTTTTTTGGACAATATTGATTTTCTTAGATTAGGGAAGAAAAAAAACTGCTCCCAAAGACACGAATATTACATAAATTACATATTTAAGAATGTTACTGATCATCCAATTATGGTTAAATCTTCATACATCGAACCAATCTAATATATACATAAATTTAGCGTTTTAAGTTTATTTATAATTAATGTGACTTAAAAACTCTAAATTGAACCGACAATGGAAAGCCATATATATATATATATATTATTTTTAAAAAATCTTAATAAAAATAAATTATTCAAATTGAAAAGCAAAACAAAGAAATTCAGATGCTGACAACCCAACTTCTGATTAAAAGACAATGCAAAGACAAAGAAGAAGAAAAAACGAAGCAAATTATCCAAAGGAATTATTAAAAGGTGAAAGACAGATGAGAGATGCCACCAGACCGATCAACCCAAGGAACAAAGAAACTGAGTTTTCCAGTTTCTTCTTCCCACTTAAACTCAGCTTCCTTGTCGTTCAAGCAACACATCACTGGAGCTGAACTCGAATACGCCATGAATCTTCCTTCGCCTTTCAACTCAACTCTTATGTTGTTGTCACCTGCAGTAATCTCCATGTTTTGAACTGTTCCCACGCAGTTGAACATGTTGATCAACCCTAGAGGTGCAAATCTAACCCCTGAACTTCCCAGCTCCGTGACTGGCACGAAACTGAATAGATCGAACGAGGATGGCTCTAGGGTTATCTTGATCGCATCTGATTTTGTGTTCATGAAAAGGATCTCTTCAGATTGGTTCTTGTAAACCAAGTAATCTCCGGTGTAGCTCACCTGAGAACCTGCAGCTTCTGGGTTTTGATCCCATTCGATGTCTGAGACATGAACCGTTCCCGAAACTGTCGTGTAACATTCCTTGTATCCCTTGAACATATTTTCCTTTGGACTCCACCCAGCTCCTTGACAGTTGAATGCTCCAATTACTCCTCCAAACTGGAACAAATCAAGTAACCGTGTTTTAATAAAGTTTCAATCTTAAAATAATGAATTGACTTTAAACTGATTACGTACCTTGTTGAAGTTGAAGATCTTGAGGATTGATTCTTTGTCAAACAAAGGGTTCTTGAAGAGTGAATCTCTAGTGGGAAGAGCAAAGTGGAGACACCTTGGGATGGTACCATCAACGAAAGCAAGCTTCTTGATAAGATCAAAGTTATGTGAGGCTTTGCCAAGATGGTCACTGAGATAGATAGGCCCACCGCAGATGGCTCGAGATGCAGCATGGTACTCGGCACAGACATGGTCTGATTGGAACATGTCCCAATCTGGTTGAATCATTTGCCCCATCCAAAAACTGTTGTAAGAACAGTGAATCATGTGTACTCCTTGTAGCCAGTACACTCCTTGTGGGTCACCGTATGGGTCTTGCCACCAAAAGTCATCACCTGTTCAAAAATCAGATTCATTAGAAACTTCACTTGAAATAATGCAGTCCAAAGCAAAAGTCTTCGAATATATATGTTACCAACTCTGCCGATAGAGATTTGCTTTGTGGCCAGGAAGAAGAACTCGTTGCACTGTTGCATACTGGCAATGACCTCGGTTCCATTGAAGTTCTTGATCATGGATTCAGTTAGACCATCGTAGTAAGCTTTAGCAAGCTCCACTCTTCCTCCATGTTCTTCTGCTACCGACTCTAAGGTCTAAAACCATACATACTTGTAAATATATAGAAAAACATAGTATATATGTAAGAAACAGAGTAATAATATAAAGAACTTACTTGGAAAACATCAATCTTGGCTCCTGTAACACCAACACTAGCAAGATAAGAGTGCATAGAATCGTAGAAGTCACGAGCTTTAGAAGGATGAACAAGACCAATCCCAGCTTCCACAATCTTGTCGACTGCAAGATCAGACATCGTAGCATCTAGACGAGGTGAAAGGTCAAAAGGAACAACCTTGGCCTTCAAATGCGTCATGCTTTCAGTTTCAGGCCTAACACCATTCCAAGCACCACATAGAGCATGCCACACATATATATCATCTAAATTCTTAAACCTTAACCTCAAATCCCTTGTGAAAGCCTTCATACCTGTGCCTGAAGCATCCTCAGAACCCAAAGACTCTTCTTTCTCAACCTCGTCAAACATTGCATTGAGTTCTTCACTCAAAGTCTTGATCTTTTCATCAAGTTCGTGTAGATCTTGTTCCCCCGACTCACGAACTAACTTCCTTCTCAAAATAATCGCCTGAATTCGCTCCGTTGCTTTGTAGATAATCATTTTCGGCTTGTGAGGATCGAAGTGAGATGCATCAGATGCTAAAAAGGATCCACCTTTATATTTTCTAAACTTCTTACACTCCTTGAAGCTGGTAAGCCTCGCAGTCATTTGCTCTCCACCAAGAACAAGATTCTCAGCGTCTTTGTCTAGCTCATCCCCATCAAAGTTAATACTTTGCCATCCATCATCAATGATGATAAACTTCGGACACACCCCTTCATCTTCAAACTCCTTAACTGCAGTCCAAATGGTTGCAGGATCAACGGTCAAGTAGCAAGCATCCCAAGTGCACCATCCAAACTTATCGACGATTTTAGGAAGCTTCTTCTCTTCTAGAAGCTTGAAAGTGTTCATATGGACACGAAGTGCACTAAAAGCCTCTCTCATGAGGTTGTAAGGATTGTCACAAATGTGAATGTAGGCAATAGAATTGAAAGATGACTCTTTTACTTGAGTCGAGCCACTCTCAGCACAAATCAAGACGTTACCTTGTTCACCAGGGTTAAGTGCAGCTCTGAAAGACCCTTCTATGATTGGTATGATGGCCACATAGGAATCGATCTCAGGAATATTTAGCATCACCCATTGAGTCTCGGCTTGAAGATCCGACCCGGATTTTCCGATCCATGCCGTTGACCACCACATTTTGAACCGGAAAACACTAAGAAAATCTCTGTTTTCGAATCTTCCCAAGGAGTTTGTGACAAGATCAGAAGGTGATTCTTTGGTGAACCCGAGAAACCCTCCTTTGTGAGCGTTGGCTTGAACTCGGAGGCGGATTGAGAGAGGAGCATCAGTGGATATGGCGAGAGATGAAAATGGCGTGAAAGTTACGTTTTGAGGGACATCAAAGAAGATTGAGGAAGAGTCTTTGGCACGAAGAGTCCCTTGGGATAGGCCAAAAGAGTTTGATTGCACTATTGGCTTAGTTTGTGGAACACCAAGAGGTTTAGTTTCAATGACATCGATGCCTGATGCCAGAGAATCGTTTAGGGGAGCCATGAGAAAAAACAGAGGAAGCTTGGAAAAAACAGAGGAAATGAAAACAGAGGATGGGTTAGTGATGATGATGATGAAAATGCTATCGTCTGCTTTCTATATATACACAAAGAAAATGGATAAAGTAGCAATCAAATTATACTGGAAGATCCTTCGAGTTTCCATAATTATGTTTCGTAATATATCGAGTTATCTAATTACATTTAATCATACCAAATCTTCTTTGCTTATCTATGAGATTTTTTTTTCTTGCACGATGATGTAATTGAATACGGAAAAAATATATGATTGTCGTACTTAGGGAAACTGATGTACATATGTATATACGAAATACTATAAACGAAGGATCTCCCGTAATATAAACTTTACATTTAACTTTCGACAGCAAAAGACATAGAAAGAAATAAGAAGTTAATTAGAGAGTTTGTTCTTGCAAGTTCAAGAAACTGCTATAAAGAGACAAGTGAGAAAATCATCAAATTAAAGGTTATATCTTGACAATAAAATAAGACTTAAAAGTGTCATATTATCCACACGTCGCTTGTTCATGTCTGCGTGCATGTAAGCTACTTGGCAACTCTGATGCTACAAAGAGACAAATAATGTAGTCGGATTCTGGAGTGCTTCTTATTCAGGATAGATAGGGGCGACGATATCATTAAGGAATAAGTGTTATTATTGTAGGAACTATATATTTTATCTCCAAATTCATAATATTCAGATAAGTAATGTGAATTAACGATTTGAATGCAGTTGATTTTATTTTGAATGATATGATTTTGATACTTTTCGGTGCATTTATAGAAGATGTCATTATCATTTATTATATTTTTTTAAAAAAAAATTCTGATGTCAAAAACTATAAAATTGTAAATTGTATGTAGTTCTAACATAAAAAAAATCCACTAAAATTTTTGTTGGAGTTAATTCAATCTTTAAAATGTTTTTAATAGCAGGGATTAAGTAGATTGTAAAATCACTAATTCAATAACATCATATTTTTATTGACTTTGTAAAATTGATAATTAAATAACGTATAATTTATTATTGTAATTCATATCATTTCAAAATTTTAATTAAATAAACATCTAAATATCTACTGAATAGTTGGATTTCGGATATCCAAAAAGAGTTTTATATTACAGATATATACTTTTTTTTTTTTGTAGAAGAGAGGGAGAAAACCTCCCAAAATTTTATTCAAAACAAATACACTTAATCTTATATTTTGATATATACTTAGTTTTATATTTACATTTTAGTCTTATATATGTTTATTATTTATTATTGTCTGTATCCATTTTAGAAATTTAAATTTTGTACTTGGCAAACAAAGATTTAGAGATTGTACAAACTTTGAGATAATCATAGGATAATATATACAATAATACTTTAAGTAAAGAATGTTCAGTATCGTTTTTGTATTACATTAACTTGAGATACCTGTTATTCCCGTATGATTGTTAACATAGTTCCACTGTTTTTATTTTTTACTTTTTTTTTCAACGGTTACCATTGTCTTTCAGTCATATTCTTCAATTAAATAAATTATAGAAAATTTTATACAATTATCTCTACTTTTTTTTTTTTTAAGAATCCTTTGGAATATCATGTTTACTGGTGATCTCGTACACTAAGATTTTGTTAAGAAAAAGCTCTTAAGTAAAATGTTTTCTTAACAAAATCTAAGTCTAAGAGACCACCATTAATCATGTTATTAGTTACAAACTTGACCAAGACGGAAACTTCTAAATAATATGAGAGTCTACTACTCTTCCCGAAAAAGAGATTAGGTGGACAATAAGATACATAACTAGTCTGTGAGGTTTGCCAAAAAAAAAAAAATAATAAATAACTAGATTTGTGAGATATTTATTTTTTTATTAATTTTTTAAATTAAATAACAAAAGACTCTAAATTAGTTTTACATAAATATTAAGTTCAATAACATATTATAGATGAAAAAATATATTAAAAATCATCAGTTACATAATTGGTGATCTTATGTAAACAAATAATTGGTGATCTTATGTAAACAATGTTCCACAAAATTGGCTCATTTGAGTCAATTCATTAGAATTTTTAAATAGAAATTAAACAAACTCCAAAATCTTCTTCCAATCCATCGTGAAGACTTTCAATCTTAAATCTCAGCCAAAAAATAAACTGTTTATTTAAGTTAATTTGTAATATAGGCAAGCCTACTTACTACACAAGTAAAGTTCATTACCAGGCATAAAGGTTGCAAAGAATATATAGCACACCCAGAGGCCACCAGTAAATTACTTAAGTTTTGCTTCACACAATGTTCTTTGATAAAGCCGACTCTAAAAGTTGCCAAAGTCTATCCAATATATCCTACGAAATTATGAAGTTGGAAATTGGACAAAACATGGATCCAATTTGTTCTCACCCGGTTTTGGTGGGACAATAAACCCGACAAAAGAAAATGTTATGGTAATGATCTAGGTTGGCGAATCCTGAAAGCTCCCAATGCCCCAATTGCCCATCCTTCTCCATTAGGCCTACACTTTTAATGGAGTGGTCACTACGTTGGCAGGCCGGAATCTCAAGCAAGACAAAAGCTTATAGGGAACAGTGATAGTATAAAGGCATAAAGCTATATGGTATGATCAACCTACCAAACGTGAGGACACATCGACTCATTTGAACTTGAAATACTCATCGCTAATTATATATATCCATAGTTTGGAAAAACGTTTATTAATTAATGTCATGTAGTAGCTACTACAAAGAAGAACATGACAAACGTGATACGTGATTACAATGAGAATGCATGCAAGCTTACGTGCATGCACAAACAACATTATTAACAAACCTAACACCACCTCCACCAGCACCGGCACCGCCTCCAGCTCCACTGGCACCACCAGCACCGCCATCACCACTTGCACCACCGGCACCACCAGCACCACTAGGACCACCTGCACCACTAGGACCACCAGCACCACTTGCACCACCGGCACCAGTAGCACCGCCATCACCGCTACCACCACCACTAGCACCTCCTGCCCCACTTGCACCACCATTACCACTTGCACCGCCGGCACCACTAGCACCACCATTACCACTTGCACCGCCGGCACCACTCGCACCACCAGCTCCACCGGCACCACTCGCACCACCAGCTCCACCGGCACCACTTGCACCACCAGCACCACCAGCATTACTATTGGAAACATTGGTACTAGTGGCACCATTACCTCCACCAACACCACTAGAAACTTCGGTATTAGTGGCACCATCCCGACCAACATCACTTGCACCGCCTCCAACAACACTATCAGCATGATCACCTCTTCTAGCACCACGTCTAACGAAACCACTAACACCATATGTGACGCCTATTTCACCTTTATCAGTACCACTGACACCATTTCCACGGTTTTCTTCACCTCCGATAAAGCCAGCCTCACCTTTTCTAGAGCCACCTCCAACATTTCTACCAATGCTACCAACACTTTCACTGATACTACTTCTATCAGCATGTCCAACTCTTTCACCGCCGCTTATACCTCTTCCAACTCTGCCACCGGCATGACTAACTCCTCCCTCGATTGTTACACCACCAGCTCCAACGTCAATACTTCCCCCTCTACCACCATGTCCACTTCGTTTGCCCCTACAGCCTCTAGTGACACCTCGATTACCAAATCCTCCCCAGGCTCTGTTGTTAGCGCGTGAACATCGGCCTTCTCCATGTTTATAATGTGGGCTTTTGTTATTACCACGATGACCTGTACCAGATAATTTTCCCAACACTTGAGTTGACATCAGAAACACCATCACAAATGCCATTACCCAACCCCTTCTCACGACCATCCCCATACTTGTAAATATTCTTACTCTCTCCCTCTCTCTGAGATATTAATATATGTTCACTCTCATCTAAGACAGATTCCCAGATAACATAGCTTGGCGGGAAGCTCTATTTATAGCCAAAACTCCACACATGTGTCCTCCAATCACTGGTTCATTAACAAAATTAACTATATTATTTCGATTACTAATACGAAAACCCACCCAACTCTCGTCGGTCGAGATGGATACGCAATATAATCTTCTAGAAGCAGTGAGGTATGAAAATAAAGCTGATAACGTTCATGATCACTAGCTTGTAAGAACACACTCATGCATTATTGCTCTATTCACGTAACATCAACATTATTAAATAAAGCTGATAACAATGATCACTTGTAAGAATACTCATACAATATTCTTGCTGATCCATCATGTAATAGTCTTCCTGAGTGGAACATTTAGACCTCAACTTGCATAACCGCACTTTTGCTAATGTACGATAAAGTTGCATTCAAGAAAGAGGTGTGGTCACGATTTTTCGGTAGCCTGTGAAGGAAAGTGCTTCGTATCATTCAGCTTGACGTAGTGATGAATAAAAGAAAAACCCAATTAAGTTTCAGAAGACAAAATTAAATGTACTCTAGTAAGTATGTTGATGGATGTTCTACTCATGTACTCTCTTCCTTAGCTTTTGAACTCTCCCAAAGGACTTCTTGTGATTTTTCATTTCAGTCGTACAATTGCATTTGCATAACACAAAATAAATAACAGAATGGGAAATTATATTAAAGATAACCTAACAAAAAGGAGAAACAAAACACATGTGTCTGCAGTTCTTTTATAATTTGATTTTAACTCTGATCTGGATGATGTATTAATATTGTAGAGATGATATATAGATCGACATTTTTTTAACTTTTTACTTCAATCGTCATGCAGAGATGATGATAGATAACCTAACAATGGAGAAGAAGAAGCGCACGGAACAGAGTCTTTGTATCATTGTATGTATAAAGACATTCAATGGAGAAGATAACAAAATACTGCATCATCAATCATCATCATCACTTCATTAGGTACGTACTCTTACACACAAAGAAGAAGCTTAAGAGAGAGGGTATATAATATTTTATAAAATCAACTAATTTAAAAAGAATAAGGGAATTGATGACAAAAAAAAAAAAAAAAAAGGAAATTTATAATCACAACGGTCAGATTAATAAGGAAACTATGCTTTTGTTAATGTTGTTTCCTTTTTATTTTATAATTACAACAACAACGGTAGCAAAATATAACGGGTAGACTCTTCTTAGCTACCTCAACTATACTGCTTCTTTGATATACACCATGTACTTTTTGCCTCTTTTCTAAACACCATCAATAATTTATTTCTCTATTAAACATCACAAACTAAATATTATCATTCAATTGCAACACTGCGACTATGAAGTGTGGTTACACATACTAAACCGGTAATAGCGTTTTTTAAATATCACGACTGCGTTTAATAAACCAAAAAACGTTAATCCCATACAATTTTCTTAACTCTTCTTCTTCGTAATATATAAAGAACTCCAATCCTTGGAGTTTATATTGTATCAATAAACCCAGAATATATATAATTATAATTTTTGAACGCCAACAAGTGATTCTAAGTAGTTGTTTTTGCATTGCAAAACAAAAAGAATCTAATAGTTTTTTTGGTCAACAACTTAATTGAAAGAAAAAGAGAATTAAAGCTCATGTTTACAAAAAACAAAGAAAATATCACCAGAATAAAATTAACTCCAAATAATGTCATTCATGCAAAACTAAACTAAAGGAACACGTTCATAGTACTTATTAAATTCACTCATGAACCACCATGTCGGAGCTTGTTTGTGATGGTTGCGTGAGAGAGACTATATCTGGTACTTGAGACGATGATGACCCGACCTGAAAAATAAACACAAACAATTTACTAAACGAACCAGAAACGAATTGAAAAAAAAGTGGATTTTACCTCAGTAGTTCTTTGTCTCTTTTTCTTTTCTCTTGGATATTTCATACACCCAGCTGCATTATGGCCAGTTTCACGGCAAGACGAACAACGTATAATACGTCCCTTTCTTCCAAGTGTTTCTTTGATTGTTTTCTTCTTTGGTGACTCGTGTTTTCCTTTAATCCTTTGATACTTCTTCTTTCTATTTTTCTTTTTCTTCCCAAGTTGTATAGGCTCTGGTGGTGCTGTTACCAAACGATACGTTGATGTCATCCAGAATTTTGGGCCTCTCATTGGATGTATGGACTGCTCGTAATTGTCTCTCCACAAATCAGTGCTGAAAAATCCTGATACATAATCTTCAACATTCATATTGTAATCAATCATTGCTCCATAAGCATGTTCACATGGAATCCCACTTATTTGCCATTTACCACATGTGCATGTTCTTTTCTTCGTGTTCACCGAATAATCATTCCCATAAAGCATAACCTCATAAACTCCATGAGTTGCTGGAGTTGTTTCACACTTGTTTGCATCTTTCTTCTCTTTTGCAAGAATTTTGGCAACATAATCTGTAAACCTCCCTTCGTGATTCTTGGATTTATTATGTCTCTTCACCATTCGTTGCATAGTTTGCCGTCTAATTGTGTCCAACATCGGAATCATTGCCTTAGCTCTTGCTTTTGTAATGGATGAGTTAAATGATTCTGTGGCGTTGTTATCAACATCCTCACAGTTGCTTCCAAGCCTAAAGAAAGCTCTTGACCATGTCTCCGGTTGCTTTTTCATCACCAAATTGTAGACATCAATGCTATACTCTTTAACCTTGTTGAGGTTGTCCTTAAATTCAGTCTTGTTGTAGCTCCAAGCTAGTTGCCATATCAATGGTTTGATCATATCTTTTTTTGGATGCTTATTCTTCAAGTTCTCGATGATGTGTTTCACACAAAATCTGTGTTCAGCTTTAGGCAATTCTGTTTGCACAGAACTTATGAGTCCCTAATAAAATGAAAATTATGAATCACAATTTCATAGGTTGTCACAAGAGAAAAAGTTCAAAACAAAGAGAGAGAAGTTACACTTTTGGTACATACCTTCGATTTATCAGATATCAGAACAAATCTTTCTCCATCTTCTAGTTTTAAATCAGCCTTGAGTCTCTGGAGGAACCATAACCAGTTATCCCCAGTTTCAGATTGTACTACAGCCCAAGCAAGTGGATAAATTTGATTGTTTGCATCATGACCAACCGCAGCCAACAACACGCCTTTCACTGCCCTTTTCAAAAATGTGCCATCAAGTCCGATGATTGGTCGACAAGAACCTCTCCAAAGTGTGCGTATGATTTCAAAACACACATAAAAACGGCTGAAAACATCTTTATTGGCAGAGTTAGGGTTAGTTTCGACAATGGCAGTTGATCCCGGATTTGTAGTCATAATCTCTTCCACATAACCACGAATGTGAACAAATTGTTCTTCATACTCCTTCTCAAGCAACTTGAGAGCTAGCAGCCTTGCGCTCTGACATTGACCCCTAGAACTCACCAACTTCCATTGATCTTTAATGTGATTTTGAATTTGCAAAGGCATGAATTCAGGATTCACTCTTAGCTTGTCCATGAAAAGCCTTGCAATAACTGGACTTCTAAGTAGCCTGCATCTCCCATTTGGAGTACAACTATGCTTTCTGTATGTCGTCTTCACCACCCACATTTGTTTCATCTCATCATAAGAGCAATACACCCTCCACTTACACTTACCAACAATGCCACACTTGAATTCAAGCTTTGTCTTCTCCCATCTGCCTTGAACGACATTATTCCCTGTGTTTAAAGCGTACTCAATTACAGCCTCTTTAAATTCAACACCATTGAAGAACGACTGACCTATATATAATCTATCAACTCTGCTCCTACGGATTCTTCTATCTCGCAAAACGATCGGATCTTCCTCTTCATCCGAACTGTCTGGAATTTCATTTCGGCCAACAGACAACTCATCAATGAAATTCCCTATTGATGTTTCTACTTCAAACTCAAACCGGTCCATTCCATCTTCATCATCTTCGGCTTCACTATCATTTTTCCTTTTATTACCTTCTCTTTGTTTTTCGTTTTCCTCACTATAATAGGTATCAAAATCTTCCATATCGTCTGGTTGTATCTCGACCATGTCTTCTACGTTCACCATGCAACTGGAAAAGTAATAGCTCTAAATATAAGCTAACAAAAGAGATAGATAAAAACTATAAAAGGGGATGAGAGAGAGAAAGAAGACTTTACCCAAGAAACTAAGAAAAAGAGAGAAACGAGTGATGGAGTATGAAGAACAATTATAAAGAAGACAGAAACCCTAATTGTGAGGACCTTTTATATGATAGAAGAAAAAAAATCAGAAAATTGGATGGGGTTAATTTTGTGGGTTCACTAAACGCAATCGTGATATCTAAAAAACGCTACTACCGGTTTAGTAAGTTTAATCACACGTCATAGTCGCAGTGTTGCAATTGAATGATAATATTTAGTTTGTGATGTTTAATAGAGAAATAAATTATTGAGAGTGTTTAGAAAAGAGGCAAAAAGTACATGGTGTATATCAAAGAAGCAGTATAGTTGAGGTAGATAAGAAGAGTCGACCCAAATATAACCTTTTTTACTGTTTACAAACAGTTATCTCTTTTAATCGAATGGTCAAGATAGAGAGCGGACAAGAAAGATCAATAATTCAATGTAATCTCTGAGGAAACCAATACCTATGATGAAGAAGAATGATTATGGCCTACTATATATTGTACAACCAATTATATATATATATATCATGGAAAAGAGATTTGGTGATTAAAATCTCAGTTTGGTATACGGTGGATCTATTCGTGTCGTCACCGCTGCGGCGAACGTATATGTTTTTGTTTGTTTGGTCATTGTATGTTGCCGCAACGGCGATTTAGGAGTAAAAAACATTACGTCCTGCCACTACAGCTTGCGGTGACCAACGAACATGCTCTAGATAAAAACGACGCATGCAAGACATGAAATATAGCAAGAAACAAAACACAAATCCTAGACGCAGATCCGATTCGAACTTATTGATTGGTTTTGTACCTTAACCGCCTTAAACGCGGGATGAAGCAACCCAAGCTCGTCTTTCATATCGAGCGGATTGCTAGTCTCGTTTCGAACTCTCTTGACTTTGCGATGACTAGCTAGAGATTTGTGAGTGAAACCATAGATTTACATGTTTTATATTTGGTTTTTTTTCCACTCTTACTACTTACACACGTCTCATATATATGTTTGTAAAACTTCTGAATTTCTCTGCTATTATATAAAACTTCTGAATTTCAATGTTGACTGATTAAATGTTTAATACTAAAAAAATAATATATATAAGTCGTCTCATATGTAAGTTTGCTTTTATTTTCTTTGATGATTTTTTTATTAAACCATATATATATATGAGATATACTAAATATATTTTGCAAGAGGGATCATTCTGACGAGGACAAAGAGCTTTTGCAAGCCAAGAAGGCTGCCAACAGGTCCCCAGTCGTGAATCATGCAATTTCCTCGAGCTCATCATCATAACCTTCTTCTAGTACATTTCATCTACAATCTTCTCTGCTCCATCTAAGTCATTTAAACTTGCTGCATCCACCGTGACATGAATTTCATTGCAACAACCAACGCAGACACCTTCTCCGGGAGTACATTACCATCGTTTAAAAAAATGCCAAAGCGTTATCAACAAACTTGCGATCATACATGTCGTCAATAAGGGCCTTTGCTTTCCCTTCCCTGAGTTCCACACAGTAGTTAGCCTTTCGAAGCCTTTAGTCTTGGAGATAAGATGTAAACGCTCTCAGAATTATCAAAATCCATCCAGTCCAAGACCTTCTCAAGGCAAACTATAACGAGAACAGTGTGTCTACAAAAATGCATTAAATTTATAGTTTTACAGAACATTAACTTATCACTAGACAGAGTCAAGCTGATGGATGAATCAAATGCAAATTTTGCTAAGCAAACTTTCTTGTTCTTCATCTATCTGGATCTCTTGCTCCTCCAACCTCTTTTTCATATCGGGACAAGCTTTCCCTGCAGAGAGATACGTCTTCATAAGAAGAGTGTAAGTTTCAGAACCGAGGGGACTCCATTTCGTCAAGGTTTTGCAGAATTCTTCTGCTCCATCAACGTCTTTGGCTTCCTCAAAGTGAAGAAAGAACAAGCGGATCAGGTCTGAGCTCCAAGTCCAGTTCTTGTCTTGATCCAAAACTGCCGCTTCAAAATGCTTCAGAGCCAAATCTGCTTGTTTTTCCTTTAACAGGTGCATCATCAAAAGCTGCCTAGCCTTTGAGAATTGACCTGCACACTTTTTCATGGCACCATTGAAAACAGCCTCAGCTTCTTCGTACATGTTCTGCTTTAAGTAGCTGCTAATTGCTACATTTGCCATCCGTATATCGTAAGTCCCACATGTTGATTCCCATTCTGTAAAGATTTTCTTGACTCCATCAATGTCATTGAGTTTACTCAGTGCTTGGAGAACTGTAAGATAGCTTGAATTGTTGACATTAGGGTGTCTTTTCTTTAGCAAATCCCAGACTCGATAAACCTCGGAAGCATTTGAAATTCCAGCATACAAGCTAATTAGAAAATAATAGGAATCACGGATGTGAGGATTCATCTTGTTCTCCAGAGATTTCAGCGCCTCTTCAGCTTTATCGTAGAGGCCGACCTTAATGTAGATTGCTGCCAGATTAGCAAATGTATCCCACGAGGAAATACCTTCACCTTCTGCTTTCATTTCATCTAGAACCTTCTCTATGCCATCCAAGTCTTTTAAACTTCCACAACTTTGTATCCACATGGAGTAAGTGACATCACAAGGGGTGATATTCTTCTGTTTCATGGCAACAACCAGTGCAGGTACCTTCTCGGGTTGATCAAGCCGCAAATACATGGCCATCAGATTATTAAATGGCAAAGAATTACTCACATGATTGAGATCAACCATAATTTCGAAATGAGCTTTTGCCTTCTCTTCCTCCCCTTCCACGCAGTAGCAGTTCAACAGCGACCCATAAGCCGACTGATTCTTGATAGAAGCGTCTAAACTGTTAAAGTAGTTTTCAGCCGCCTCTAAGCCTTCAGTCTTTGCTATAAGATCCAAACGAATTGCATGATCGCTGCCAGAAAAGGCAATTTCTTTTCCTTCCATCCACTTAAAGATCTACACATAAAGGGAAACAAAAAACAGAGTTACTTCACAAAAACTCAAACACCATACACATTTAAACTTCATATAACAATGGTGGCTAAAATCCACAACTAGTCCTTTTCCATTGGGAAGTTAAATCAATTCCAAAGAGAGGAAAGAGGCGACAAACCTCGAGGGCGCGTTGAGGTTGACGAAACTTGCGAAGATCCTTTGCGTAGCGAAGAAGCTCGTGTTTTTTTACAGGAATACCTTCCATGAAGAACTGATTTAGCGTTTCATCAATCTTCCCTCCCCTCGTCCCAAGTCTTGAGAGTTTTTTGTATACCGAGGGATGCTTTTTCGCCTTCGCCGGAACAGAAGCAGCAGCCTCACCGCTAATCTCCGCCGGAGCAGCAGCGAGCGTCGCACAGAACCTCCTCGCGAGGCGTGAAACGGAGTACATCATCAGATTTACGGGTTTTGAATTTTCTCAGTGAATGAATCCCAAAAATCACTAAAATTTCACTCTCACTCGAATCCAAGATTTTGCTAGGGTTTTAAAAGGCTCAAGTAAAATATAAACAGAGACTTCGTGTCGTTTCTCGTACAACAAAACGGTGTGTAGTTTATTGTTGTTATTTGCCCATTCCTGGGACTTGGGAGCATAAACTTGTAAGGTCAGAAATGGCTATCCTTCTTCTTCCTCCTCCGACGACTATCGTCTTCTCCAACTCATCTTCTACACAATTAATCCTACGAAGTCCCAAGTTCACGCGGCGTGTGCGTTGCCGTATCTCCGATTCCTCAGAGGTGGTTCCAGTTTTGAATTTTAACTCTCTCCGACCGATTTTGTACACAGACGCACATATTATAGAAGTGTGTTTATCATTTTGATTCTCAGGTTAAATCAGATGAAGGAGCTTCGAAACTGGAGTATAAGCCAGGACCTCTCGACGATTTCTTCATGCAATCGTTCCGGAACAAATTGGTCGAGGTGAGTTGTAAATTGGATTGGTTTGGTTTCTTCATGAATTTAGTGTTTTGATTGGACTGGTAATTAGGTTTAACATTAGTCTAATGTTCTTTAGTTCATGTTCAAGTATGTGTAACAGGAAGTCGGGTCGGATTCAGAGAAACCCGGGTACGTTGGACTTATTGAGCTGGTGAAGCTTCTCTTGTTGAAAGGTCGAACTAGGTCCGAGACAAGTGATGCTGCGGTATATTTCTCATTCAGAAGCCATTTTTTGTAGACACTTTAGGCTAAAGTTCTGAGGTTTTGGTTCTTGTGGAAAGCTCTGATCGAATGGTTAACTTCTGTTAAACAGGTGCGAATACTGAAATCGTTGTTTCCTCCACTCATTTTAGAGCTTTACAAGGTCCTCGTTGCTCCTATAGCACAAGGCAAATTAGCTGCATTGATGGTTGGTGAGTTGTGTTGAATCTTTCCTTCCTCTATGTCAATTTAACTTTATCAAAGTATGGCTGACAACTACATTGTGAACCATATATAGATTAGGAAGTTACAAAGAAGCTCTAGTTTTTTTTTTCGGATTTGGTTTCCTATTATTTTCCTGAGGATAGGAGGCTTTGACTTCTTTGAACCAAGCAGGCTAATATTTATGTATTCTTTCCTCTGTTTGTTTCCAATTGTCAAGCGAGAGTAACTGTACTTACCTGTCAATGGCTGATGGGACCGTCCAAAGTAAATGTCATTGATCTTCCTAATGGAGAATCTTGGGATAGCGGGGTAATGATCATACTGAACTTTGCATCTGTTTCACATGATTCGTTTTGTTAGTTATTTTTCTATCTTTTGATAACGAAGAGGATTCGGGATGCGAGTAGGTTTTCGTCGAGAGATGTAAGTATCTAGAAGAAAGCAAGTGTGTAGGAGTATGCATTAATACATGCAAACTACCAACTCAGGTATTCTTGCTGCAAGTAAACTAAACCAATTAACCAGTTATTACTGTACTGAGTTGGTGTTCTGTTTTAAATAAGACATAAATTTGAAGACTTAGTCACAGTAAAATGAACCATGGTAAGCTTACAAGCTTTAGGTAATGTTCTTTGGTTATCCCTGAAAATGTGGAATTCGTCTTTTTTTCAGACATTCTTTAAGGACTACATGGGAGTTCCTTTGGTGATGGAACCAAACTTCAAAGATTATAGTTGCCAGGTACATCTTGCTTGCCCCTTCCTAACAATAGACATATCAACTCTAAACTATTAGGTATCTTATCTGCCACTGGAAAAAAAAAAAGAAGATGACAGTATGACACCCCATATATATAACTTTGAAACGATATATAAGAGTCTGCTAACCCAAACGGGATAGTGATAAAAAAAAGTAAAGGAATGGTCCCAAAATGTGCATTAAAAATCCAGGATTTGGTTTTGTATACAATATCATGGATTTACTTCACTTACCTTCGATCCGGTTTTGAATCAAAATTAACAAGTTGAGTTCTTGGAATGTTCCCATTTTTTATTAGCATCTTCTTTGTCCAGTTATTAACCCCAGGTTTCAATTCTCTCTGGGTTCTTACCTTTTTTTTTGTCTTTCCATGTTTGGATCATAACAGTTTAAATTTGGAGTAGCTCCACCGGAGGATGATAGCAATGTTAATGAACCATGTTTTGAGACATGCTCAATCGCCAGCCGCCGGAAATTAAAACCTGGGGAGTGTCCTATGGCGTAAATCGTCGTTTTTGTGTCCATACACCGACATTTTATATCGTGTAACTTGTGTATATCAACATTCTAGATTTGATTCTAGTTATGATTGCGAAAGAAAACATAAATTTCTCTAATATGTCGATATAAAGCCTCTTACCCTATGCAAAACTATGGTCCTTGATGGGTTTGTGAAGATCAAGATGGAGGACAAATCTCTAAAGTCGAAAAGGATCTACGAACACCAGCCACAAAGTATCTCCTCGCTCCATTTAGTGTTGAAGATCATCGTCACACATCATCAGATAAACCATCTTTCTTTTGAAAAAGATTGTATAGACCTGATCAAGATTTAGTCTGTACTTACTCATTCACACTCTTTTTTTTTTTTTTTTTTTGTTAAAGTAAAGTTCTACCTAATTTCTATTTAAAAGCTTTAGACAGTTTATAATTAAATTAAAAACAAAAATGGCGATGAAATGGTGAAACACTTTTTTTTAATCATATATCAAGATTAGGTTAGGATTACTTTAAAATTCGATTAATCACTACTTCGTTCTTGGATAATTCAAACTGCTTTATTGATCTTCTTCTTCTTTTTTTTTCCTTATTCTTTGTTGTTGTTTTAAGAAAGAACTACTATAAAGAATCCTCATTATCTTTACTCTTATTCTATGTTTTATATTCTTAACATCGTGAAATGAGAAACAACTCCTAAAATAAAGCCTGCAAGTTGAGCTAAACAAATAACCAAATGGAGTTGTAGTATAATTTAAAAATCTCATAATAATAATTTTTTTGAAAAAATTATTTAGTCCGTTTGTGAGTAAAATATTCGACGGTGACAGCGACGGTTTTGTTTTTTAAATGGCTACCGTTAATGTTCGTTTTAGTTAAACGGCGTATTTTAGTGTGCGTGGACAAATACGCTCACTCAAGTGCGCCGCACGCTTCTCTTCTTTTTGTCGCGCATTCAAAAACCGAACGATCAGAGAAGAAAAGAATATTTAAAATAAACCTTTTTTGGGGACTACATAATTAAATTTTGTTATTAATTTCTGAAAAGAGAAAAATTAAATTAAAAAAGAGAGAGAGAGAGAGACGGAGAAGGAGCTTCTTCTTCTTCTACAGTACTAAAAGCGGAGTGAAGCCGAAGAAATCTCCGCCAACGGAAAAGTTTTTCTGGGAGCTGAAATCTATGGTGACGATGGCGGATTCTCTACCTACGGTTTCCGTAGCTCCGTTAATTTCTGTAAATATATCTCCCTTCTCGGATCCACCGTTGAAAACCCCCTGAAGAGGTTTTTTTTCCGGGTTTAAGGTCTTTTACGTTTCGCTTCTTCTTGGGATTTCGTCTTCCGTTGCGAGTGTGTTTCTCTTCTCGCGGCGAGTTTTTTTTTTCTTTAGTAGATCTGAGGGATTTCACGCCTCCGGAAAGTGTCGGTGTTGGAGATTTTCTCACTCGCGAGCTCCTCTGGTAAATTCACTCTTTATACTCTCTCTCTCTCGTCCAAGTGTAGTGATCTGAAAATTTAAAGAACTGTGAAATCGAAGGGAGAAAAAGTTTTAGTCTATGGGACCTATTTGATATCTAGTTACTTTGTTTCTTTATTTGTTAGGGTTACTTTGATTTTGGTTAGTGAATATCATCAAGTCACGAGATGGATTTGGAATGTAGTTTGGGTTTGAACTGATTTTGGTTTATAGTTTCTAAATATGGTACATGATCTAGAGCTCTGGACCCATATGCTAGATTATCCAGGCCAAAAAAGGCAAAGTAGGTTCGAATTGATGTTTGATTTTGGACCATGCCCTTGCATCTTTTCATGAATATATATGTTAGTAGGGGGAATTGGTTAGGTTGTTTAGAGACATTCTTTCGATATTTTTGTTTTGCTACCATTGAAATCTGTAGAAAAATTAGTCCCAAAATAGTGTTCTTGTTTTACCTCTATCTCACTGTTTCTAACGATATGTACATCATAGGTTTGCAAAGAGATATCCTAATAATGGCGTTCAAAGCATTGGTTTTTGTATATTATGTGGTTTCTCTCGTCAGTGTTCAGTTTGCTGATGCACTATATGAAGGACTGTCAGTTTCACCTACTTTATCACCTTCAACTTCACCAGCTATCCCTGATCTGCCCCTACCAGCTGAATTTCCGCGGTTTCACAGAAAGTATTTCGCACCACAACAAGCAGAAGCACCTCAGTACCCACCTCCCTATAGTCGTTTGGTTGCCTCTGTTCATCCCCCTACCAGCTCACATTTCTCCAAACCTTCTATGAATGCTCAGTCTCCTGGAGCCGGCTTGGTGGATATAGCCCCAGCACAATCTAGTAGTGGTGTACTTCCTGATGCCTTAACTCAGCCACCTTTGTCCCCCTCTGTTTCAAGTAAGACGGTATCTAGTATCATAATTAAATAATCATTAGCCCTTTAATGGATTTCTTATCCATTTTGAATTGTCATTTGGATAACATGCTAGTTCAAAATTCATTGTATTTATCTGTTGTTCTTCCAGATTGTTGCAAGCCAGATATGGTGCTTAAACGAAGAAGTATTGGTTGCCATTGCGTGTATCCTATAAAGCTGGACATCCTTCTCTTGAATGTTTCACAAACTCCTAGTTGGAACATGTTCATGAATGAATTTGCTACCCAGCTTGGTCTCCTACCTCACCAAATCGAGCTGATCAACTTCTATGTGCTAAGCTTAGCAAGGATGAACATATCAATGGATATCACCCCTCACTCTGGAATTAGCTTTTCAGCAAGTGAGGCATCAGCAATAAACTCTTCGCTTATCAGCCACAAGATTCAGTTTAGCCCTAATTTGGTAGGAGATTACAAACTTCTAAACCTTACTTGGTTTGAGGCCCCTGCACCTTCTCAAGGTAAAGCACTTTTCTACAATTTTGTCAGGGCAATAATTCAATCGGCCCATCAATTCTGCAGATTTGAATTCACATCTGTGGTCAAAGTTTCATCACACTGAAGTATAGCATAGCCGAAAGGAAGTAGACTGAGATAGTTTTTTTTGTTAATTGTAGCATCTCCCAGTTTGATGATTTTTTTGAATTATATCACCATGATTCCTTACATTTGCATTAAGATAGGTCTTAATATGTTTCAGCACCTCTAGTGGCTTCTTCACCTCATAAAGCACCGTCACAAGGATCCTCAGCATCTACGTCAGTAAGATCTCCAGGGAAAAAAGGGCATCCCAATCTTATCCTTATCTTTGCAATAGCCGCTGGTGTGCTTATACTTGCCATAATATCTGTGCTTGTTATATGTTCTTGCGCACTCCGAGAAGAGAAAGCTCCTGATCCTCACAAAGAAGCCGGTAGGTACCTCTTCTGATTACAAGGTTTAAATCACTTTATGTTAGGCAGATCTCAGTTAGGGATACATCACTTATGTCAGAAGATACACTGCATGTACACAGTATGTGAACCCATATTGGAAAGTTAGCATAGATGTGGGGAAAATATCAGGTTTTCTATTGGGTTTAATATTGTGTCGTTATTGTTAACTCTAGATCTCTCATTTGGCCTTATGTAAAAGCCAACTGACCTTAGGAATCCAGGATTGAGAAAAACGGGAATACATAGATGATGAATGATTATCTGTGAATTATCTTATCTCTCAGTATCCTGGAAATTAACTTTTAGTATTTGTTCTTAATGAAATACTTGATTGCATAATCCTTGTTTCAGTAAAACCAAGGAACCTGGAGGCTGGTTCAGTTGGGGGATCTCTTCCTCACCCAGCAAGTACACGGTTTCTGTCATATGAAGAACTCAAGGAGGCAACTAGCAATTTTGAATCTGCTAGCATTCTAGGCGAAGGTGGGTTTGGTAAGGTTTACAGAGGCATCTTAGCCGATGGTACTGCTGTCGCGATTAAGAAGCTAACAAGTGGAGGGCCACAAGGTGATAAAGAATTCCAGGTGGAGATTGATATGCTTAGCCGTCTTCATCATCGTAATCTTGTGAAACTTGTTGGTTACTATAGTAGTCGAGATTCTTCCCAGCACCTACTTTGTTATGAGCTTGTTCCAAATGGCAGCCTCGAAGCTTGGCTCCATGGTAGCATATACTTTTCGCTTCGCTTGCTGCCTATTTTTAGATCTAACATTTCCAAAATAAGTTAATGTACACCGAGTTGATCTACAAGAGTGGTTTATTTAAGTCATCGTTTATGTTCAGGGCCTCTCGGGTTAAACTGTCCTCTTGATTGGGACACCAGAATGAAGATTGCACTTGATGCTGCTAGAGGACTTGCATACCTTCATGAAGACTCACAACCATCTGTTATACACAGAGATTTTAAAGCCTCTAATATACTCCTTGAAAACAACTTCAACGCCAAAGTTGCAGATTTTGGCCTAGCCAAACAAGCTCCTGAAGGCAGGGGTAATCACTTATCTACTCGTGTTATGGGCACATTTGGGTGAGTTGCTCATATCTCCCGACAGTTTTCATATACTAAATTCCTAGTTGCTTATGTAATCTGGGATCTGTTTTCAGGTACGTAGCACCTGAATATGCAATGACGGGACACTTACTCGTCAAGAGTGATGTATATAGTTATGGTGTGGTCCTTCTCGAGTTGTTAACTGGTAGAAAACCTGTGGATATGTCACAACCTTCAGGCCAAGAAAATCTGGTCACTTGGGTGAGTAAAAAGTTCCTACCATCTCCTAGATATTCCTGCATGTTACTCGTCAAAAACTTAGCTTATAAATTCTGGAATGTAAAAATGTGATTCTGGATGCAGACAAGGCCAGTTCTAAGAGACAAAGACCGGTTAGAAGAACTAGTCGATTCAAGACTTGAAGGAAAATACCCGAAAGAAGATTTCATAAGAGTCTGCACAATCGCAGCAGCTTGTGTTGCACCTGAAGCTAGCCAGAGGCCAACGATGGGTGAAGTGGTTCAGTCACTTAAAATGGTTCAACGGGTAGTTGAATATCATCAAGACCCGGTTTTAAACACTTCTAATAAAGCTCGTCCTAACCGGAGACAATCATCAGCTACGTTCGAGTCAGAAGTAACCTCTTCTATGTTCTCTTCTGGTCCTTACTCTGGTCTAAGCGCTTTTGATCATGAAACTATTACACGAACAACTGTTTTCTCAGAAGATCTTCACGAAGGCCGATGATACAACCCTTGGTCTTCTTCTTCGTTTTTATTTTTATTTTCTCCCACTTAAGGTTAGAAAATTTCGAGCAGGGAAGCTTTTGAATTTGGGACGTTATCACAGCTCTTTGGATTTTTGGGTTCTCCTTTCTTGGAGGATGAAATTTTGTATATATATGTTTCTTCATTAATTAAATATTTACCAAAATCATCAGATATATAAAGAT